ACTGACCATCAAATTCCTCCCTAAGAAGTGTTGTTAGCAAGCAGAAAGAAACAGTGCAAGGCTTCCCTTTTGCACGCGACTGTTACACTTTCGTGGCCTTTGTTGTGAGCTAATGAGAGCGTGTGCCCTCCCACAGGAACCTTCAGTCTTTCTTAGAGATTGCAGACTCCAAGTACAGTTCTGAAAGGCTGTAGTGTGCAAGTTATGAGAAACACAAGTTCCAGATGACATCAACATTACCAGAATTCTAGGTTTGGAATTATTATTTTCCTTCATCCCCATGTGTTTTTTTTTATTTAAAAAAAAAAGAAAAAAAAGATACTACTGCTTTAAAAAAAGTTATAGCTATAAACAATCTTACCTTAAATGGATTTCTGAATATTTAATGTAAATGATAAAAATGAGAACGCTATTTCCTTTTCTCCAAAGCACTGAAAAGGAACAATTAAATCTACCAAGGTCTCTAACACAGAAGTCTGCTACTAATTGAGGCACCAAAGCAGGCCAAACCTCACCTGTATAAAAGCTTATAGGTTCATGCTATATACAAATAGCACCAACATTTCACAAGTAGCGGGTATTCCTGAGGAGCAGTCCAGACACCTGACAGCCACAAAGAACTTGTGCCAAGAGCATACCAGAACTGTTAAAGCTCTGCTTTATGGTACTCAGATAATGTGCTAAACAGCATTTTTTAGCAGAGATGTTGCTTGCATCTCATTTCATAGCTCAAGAACAGCCTTGGTTTCTGGCTCTTGCTTTGCTCCTGGAGGATTTGCGGGGACCTCTGAGACCATCCTGTGAAACTGAAATTCCTTGCAAGCTCAATGGCCCTGCTAGTCTCTGCTCCCACTGGGCTTTCCGCTGAGCATGAGCCCAGACAAGGGCTAGTAGTGCAGCAGTTCGAATAGGCTGAGTACTAGGTACACTTCAAAACTAAATCCACCTCTTTAAAGCACATCTGGAGAGGGGATGTGGGAGCACTAACTTTCACTGAAGATAAATGACACTTTTTTTTTTTTAACTAAAATGTTTAAAACACTAATACAAGTAGAGGAGGAAATGCAGATTTTTAGAGAGAGTGAAGGTATCTCTTCCAAAAAGTCTTTTCTGTATGCTGGGAAATCTTAACTCACTGTCCTTCACTAGTGCGAGATCTGCACTGAGGTATCTCAAGCAGAAAGGATTTGTTTAGAGGGTATTACAAGGAAAAGGAAGAGAAATCAGTGAAGCTTTTAGTGTGAGGTTTTCCCCAAGGAGTTGTTCCATGGTAAGGTACACAGATGTCTTAAGGGGAAGCCTGGTTCCCTGTTTCCCTGAGACCAGGTAAAGGGTTAAACAGGCCTACCTTTGAAACAGTTTTGCAAATATGACTATTTGGCTGGAAGCAAAGAAAAAAATAGCAAAAAAAAGAAAGGGCAAAAAATAGCAAAAGTAGATGGGTAGAAGCATTTGCGTGAATGTGAGCAAGAGCACCATCACTGAAATGAGCTATGGTCTCTGCAAGGAGTGGGGAGAGTGATTACAATAAATCAAGGGCAATTCATTCAATAGCAAGTATGAGCACAAAATAGAGTGTGCAAAATATGTTGATTTGTTACTCTGGCACATACATGGTGCCTAAGATAAGAAACTACTTGTGTTTAATTGGAGTTAGGTAGAAGAATGAAAGCTAAAGCAGATAATTTGCCTTAATGACTGCATGAAGTAAAAAACATACGTATGTTATCAGTATGACTTGGATAATTGTAGGCGACTTGTGGGCTTTAGTTTTGTGGGACTGTGACTATGCCACTGTACCAGTAACACCACATAGGAAAGATTTGCCTAAGTAACAATATTAAAAACACCATATTTGGCATTAAGTAAAGCAGTTGGGGTGGACCGACTATTTGGGAGAAGTTGGGGCAGAGAAAGAGAAGCTTAAGGGCAGCAAAAAGGGGGTTCAAAAATAGAAAAAATGGTGAATAAAATCAGATAAAAAGCAAAGGAGGGTGTGATCTTTCAATAGTAGGAGTGCAGATAGCTACAAATGTACAAATTGTCTTTTAAATCCATTATGTCTCAAGCCTGAAACCTAACGGCTTACAGCTGGACAAATAACAAGTAACCAAAAAAATCTCTTTGTTGTTATATTTTCTCTCACTCAAGCAGCTCAGACTGGCTATTGGTAAGAGAGAGTATTGATACAGGCTACAGGTAAGGGAGGATTTGCTGATGAAATTTTATCAGCAATCTTGTATTGACAAACTTAGAAAACACTAAGAGGTGTTTTCACTCTCTAATACCCTAGAAGTATCCAAATAAAGTCAAGAGTACCCTAGACATTTGAAGATACTTCCTTGTTTCAGGTAGAATAACTTCCCTTATAAGTAGTTTTTGTGCTGCTTATTTCCATGGTCAAAGCCTTCATTCAGACAGATAAAGAAACATACTTGTTGGCCAGCCAAGCATCCTGCCAAAGCAGAATTTCCACTGCCAGCACTGATACCATTTCATTTTGATGTAGCTTCTCATCCCCCAGGTTTCGGCTGTTTGAAGGGAAAGCAGTTCTCAGAACAGATGGAGTTGGTAATAAAGCTCCTTCTAGGAGATACAAGGATTACACAGGGAATTAAATGGCGAAACAGTGTCTGGAGTACATGCTATAAACTTAAATCACAGAAAGTAAAATTCCCTTCCCACTGAGAACAACATGGTGGGGAAAACTGCAAGTGACAGTGTGGCTTTCCAAAATGTTAAATACCAAGGTTGTTTCCCCTCAGTACACTGGCTATTGAAACTATTTGTGAGATACGTTCCAATCTTGCACCCACAAAAAATCTTGTGACTTGTCATTTTGAGTCAGTGTCAGGAGCACTGCCAAAAGCAAGGATGAAGTAGCTGTCTCAAAAGAGCAAAAGAGAGTCTATGCACCAGACAGGGAAATGGTGCAGGCTTTTGCCTATGTACAACACAGCTCCTGAGCTCTGCTATGAAATCTCATCGGAGTTCTGCTGGAAGACCTGCCCAGCCATACTCTTTTCAGGAAAACAAGAAGACTTGCACCTCAAAGGTCCTTCTACATTTCCAGGCTTACACAAATACTAAAATCTCTCCCAGACATGTGGACAGCAACTACTGCACTGCTTTTCCAATGAGGAATGAGCATTTTAAGTCAGCATTTCCACAGCTACAACCACCATAAGCACCATTCCCAACAGAGCAGGGTGGGATGGAAAAGGGAAAGGAGTGCCTAAGAATAAGCCAGAATCCAGATAAACCATTCCAGTCAAGACCAGGGCTTGTTTTAACATAGTAACCTGTTCCTAGGCATGCCTGAGTCATCATGCAGAGAACAGTAAGGCCAGAGCAAGCATATTTGAATCTTCTTACACATCCTTTCCCAGCTTCGAAAAACTTTCATCTCAGGAGAGGTCCTGAGCCTAATGTGATTTGTCTACTTACTGATCTCCAGTGGATATTCTCTCTCAAGTATTTGCCCTATCATTTGATTTGCTTTGTTTATTGTTACTGAGCATTTAGCTGGCATTTTACATCAAGGACTGTTATAATGTCATTCAAGAAAATGCTGTGGGTATACTCTCACATTGCTAATCCATACTGCTCTGTGTTTTGCAATAAATTGCAATACCCAGTTTAAACTGCCCTGAAAGACCTTAGCGGGAAGGGACTTTTACTATACGTGATTTAAGTTTACATATACTCCAATAATCCTAGACATTATCCATTTTTATTATTCTCTATATAATTTCACTTGCTTTTATCAGCTATTGGGGGATTATGACCAAAAATCCATTTAGAACAAGAAAGATTTGTAATTCCAAATCTCTTTACATGACTAATGCATATGTTTTGTGTTTAAGAACAGTTGCTTTGCTTCCCATACTGGCTCTGGACATGTTATTTACCATTATGATAGCATGCAGAAACATGAAATAGGCCTGAAATTTGTTATTCAATGTAAGATCTCATGGACTGCATTGAATTGGCTTTTATATTTAATATATAATGGCTGAAATGTTGAACTTCTTAATCTACAGGATTTCTTTAATTATCTTAATTGAAGCCAGGATTTCATCTCAGGAAAAAACTCTAGTTTTTAGTGTTATTCCCTAATGATTTTGTAAGATGCTTTTCTGCTTGCTAGGATACATACGCTTTGCGTCCCTCAGCTTTACTCAGTGACAGAACAAATGATACTTGTATAGCATTCGGAGCAAAAAAGACCGAGATAGTCAAATTAATGTTTTACTCAACTCTGCCACGCTACAGAGACCCCTCTCTTATTTTCTCTATCTTGGAGAAAAGTATTTCAGATATTTCCTTTGGGTTGATCTCAGCTTATAGGTTTTTTTCCAGTTGTCACTTTGCTCAGGAAAGTCCTTTTAGCAACTGTTTTTTGAGTTTCTATTCCAAATCCTGAATCTGAGAAGTTTTGTGGAGATGAAGCAATCCTTCCTCCCTTCCTTATTGATCACTCCTTGCCATCTGTAACATCCACTAATTTTTGCACACAGCATAGCTTAAAAAAAAACAAAAAACAAAAAAGCTATCCTGAATGCCAAATGCACAGTGTTGCCAGTGAGCAGTTAAATAATCATTTTTTTTTAAAAAGCCTAGTTTTACTTGAGTTTACTGTTATATAGTACATTCTTAAGAATTGTCAAATAAAATGAAGGAAATGCAATTTTTAACACAGTTAAAGAGAAAGTATGCACTTCTCAAAGTTTGAAGACTTGGCTGTATCAAACAAACCACCCTTTCTTCTAATGGAGAGATTTGCCAAAAGGAACACAGAAACCTTACTGGCCACCTTGCAAAACATGGTACTAAGTGTAATTAAACAAGGCCAATTTTGTTCACAATGTTTTGCAGACAGAAGGTGCAATTAAGCTTGTCTGAAGCCTTGACCTAAATGCTTTAACTTCCAAGAGAAGAAACATAAAACAACAGAAAAACTAAAGTTTGATATATTGTTCCAGCAGGCAGCAAGACTGTGCTATGCAGTGCAGCAAGTAGGTGTGATTAGCTCATTTGTCATTAGTTGAAGCCAGCAAGAAACAGAAAGCAGAAGTCTGAGCACACGGAAGTAGCACCCTCCAATTCTGATTAGCTTCTCATTTATACCACGTTGTGGTAAGCTACAGGCTGCATTGGCTCCCTTAACCTTTCTACAGGCGTGAATGTATTAACTCCTGTATCCCTCGGAGAAAAAGGAACAGAAAACGTCTCTTCACAGAGGCTGAGTGAGAGAGAGAAGTAATTCTGCAAACTACTAACACCACCACCATGAAGGCATCCAATATCCTCGTGCTCATCTTACTCCTGCTCTGCATCAATGCCAGCACAGAATGGCCTACGCACACGGTCTGCAAAGAGAGCAACTTGGAAATATATTACAAAAGCTGCGGTGAGACTTAAAATTTCCTTTTCTTTCTAGCTGGGCAGCATGGTTCTAACACAGTGACAGCAGCTTACAAAAAGGCAATGAACAGAAGGGCTATACTTAAAAGCAAGCACTGGGTATTGTTAGAATATTTTCAGTCTTCCAAATATAGGGGGTGTGGTTGACACACGTGAAGAAATATGACTGTATTTAGTTAAAAGATAACAGACAGGAAATAATGTAACCAAATTCAGATTAATAACAGCTGTCAAAAATAGCTCCAATTCAACTATTGAAAGAGAGAACTAGGATTTGTATCTTAAAGCTAGGTTAACAATAACAACAAAAAAGAAATAACATGAAAAACAAAGAAGCAAACAAGCAAAAAAAATGAGGTAGACCCTGAATCTTTACATTTTTAATCCTGGGATGACACTGAATCTTCAATGCACTGATCTGATGTTCTCATAATGTGAGCTTAGGCTGTGGTGATATGTTTTCTGTCCTCCCACTTAGTGACAAGGGACCTGGTGTGACAGTAGGAAGGGATTGTGTTCTTAGACATATCCACCATGCTTAGTGAGACTTCAGCAGCAGCACTTACCAGAGGCATTTCCTAGGGATATTAGGGTTTGTTTGTTCTTGAAATCAGTAGAGAAGAAAAAGAGCAAGCAGCACTGGAATGACTGAAAATGAATTTACTGAATGGTGCCTGCTTCCCAGCGGTGCTGCTTTGCTGGCCTTGTGCCGCCCCTATTGTGCTGATCTGCTTTACAACTGGGACAAAGGGAATTAGATTCACAGACGCCTCATTCATTTTCTGCACGTGATGTGAAAAGAGATTCATGGCAAATGAGCACCCTAGAGTTTGTTTTTCCAATTCATTCAGATACAAAGGGTTTCCCAGGGGACTTTTTCTCTTGTGGAGCTTTCATGGAGTTTTGCGCACCCATTAAAATAAAGCCAGTGAGGGACAAGAGAAGTAAATAAATATTTGTAATGCAATTCTTTACTGGCCTGCTCCCAAGAGAACAAAATCAGGCGTCACATATTATAAATGGATGTCCTGTATCAGGAAAATAATTAATTAGATATCGAATACAAGCTTTGCTATTACAGCTATTTTAGCAAGAATTCATTGTATAAATTAATTCTGTTCCCTCAATAGGACTCACTTAGCATGAGATGCCTTGATACAGAGGCACAAGCTACAGCTGATCCAAATGATAATGAGATTTGTCTGCTGGACATGTGTCAGTCAGGCACCAGGCATTGCTTCTTACCATGCACACCACAGGGCTCAGTAACAAAATGCACTTTGTTAGAGCTTATATATCACTTATTTAAGTTTGCCTTGCACTGAAAGGTAACAGGCACAATCATTCAGAAGGAGTTCACAGCTTGAGAAGCACAAGCCAGACATAACACAGGTCACATCTCAACATGAGAGAAGGTTTCTGTTCTCTTGGGCACAGCCACAGGAGGTGAGAGGATTACACAGATGTGGAAACAATGTGAGAATTAAATCAAATTTCTTGTATGAAGCTGATCCTTCTCACCCGACAGTTCTTGCAGATTCAGTTGCAACCATACTCCCAGCTGCCATCCCAATGGTCTATCCTGCCTTTTTTCCATACCTGCTACCGTGCCTATAGTGTTAGACCAGGATGCATGTCTGCATCTTAGCTCCAGTTCGTTGTCTGGTACTTCATATAAACTCAAAAATTACGGTGTTCTGTAAAGAGGTAGGATGCAGGCACACACTGAATCTCCACTCTCACTCCATATTCTGAATGCCATAGATGGAAACCCGAGACCTTGTCGATATACAAATATCCCATCACAAATCCCATTCCCACTCAGCTATCTCAGACTAAACCTTGAGGGACTCAGGACTCAGGACATACAACATGAGAAATGGTTGGAAAAGATGCACTTGCACATGTACTTGGAAAAAATCATTGAAAAGAAATCAGAAGAAAATTCTCAATAAAAAGTCCTTAGCAAAGAACTCAGCCTGAGAGATGGGTGGTCTAGAAATAAAAAATATAGACTGTATACTGCCTCCTCTATATAACCACAGGAGACATAACACAGAGACAATCTATAAACAGCTAGACATTTCCCATTAGAGCCACTCTTCCTCCCTGGAACAAGTGACAAAAATGGAAGAAGATCTCAAGTGACCACAAATCACTTTAGAAACCTGGCCAGCAATCCTAAGATAAAAGTGGTGCACCTTAACACCTCTAACTGAGAAAAGAGAACTATAACTGGCAAGTCTGTGCAGAGACATGAAAAGAATATGCTACACAAATGGCTGATTCTATCCCTTTTAATTTCACAATGTTTTCTACAGTAATCATGCTTTTGATCTTTCCAGTTACACTGTAAAGGCATTTCTCTGAGAAGGGAAAGTCAGGAAGGCAGGGGTAGATGAGTGCCACGAGCAGATTCCAGTGCTCTTTGAGAGTCAGGCATCTACTTGAAAGTGCAAGTGCAAAATATAGCTCTTTGACATGTCTAACAGCACCTGTTTCTAGAGCATTCATATAAGCTTAATTGAGGCATTCTTTGTTAATTAGCCATGAAAACACTCTTAAAACGCAACATTCAAATGAGGCCTTCTTCATAGCATAAAGCAAGAGATTGTTGCTGCAGGTCCCTAGAAAATATTTTCCATCTGCTTTTATAGCGCTCTTTCATGAAGTGTTAGTTGGGTCTACGTCAATAAGTCAGAATTTTAGATGTCTGTTTTTGTTTCAGCCAACATACCTGGACTGGTATGCTCAGGGATTAATAAAGCTCTGTGCTTAGATTAGGACCTCAGAGATTTCAGAGCTGCATGGTACTTTAAATCAGAGGTTTCTCAACAATTCAGAGTCTTGCTAGAAGTCAGGTGGTTCTTAGAAAAGTCCTGGAGAGCATCTACCATGGAAGGCTTTGTATTCTATGCTCAGGAAGAAACAACAGGGAACTTCAGGGAGATCTGCAGAAGAGTCAAAGTAGTAGTATTTGCAGATGACATCTTGTAGGAGAGAGGCTTTATAAAACACTGTTCAGACACATGGGATTTCTGGCTATCAGATACAAACAGATTTCTTAGTTCATGCCCGTCTTTCTGCTTTCTGTTTGCTGCTTTATTTTATTTTTTTTTCTTTCTGTTTTGAGCTGAAGCAAGGCTAATAGCCATCAGCTGAAGTTTCAGGAAAGGAAAAGTCAATCACTATTCATTTCAGCCTCCAAAACCTAAATAGGAAACAGATTGCACCCTGTTTTGCAGCTTTTTATTGGCATAGCCTCTACTACTACTAATAAACATATTAAAGGAGACCAATGTCTTTCCTTAAACACAGAAAATTTAGATTGAACGTATGTCCAGTGAGCTGCAGAACTGCTTGCATGGCATTATGTCACACTTCAAACAGGGTCACCTCTATGAAGTTTATTCCTACCCTACTGTGGTACAGTAGGAAACAGGAGCACTGTTCCCTTCACTGTAAGATAATGCTGAAACTGCCTTTCCTTGTACTTGTGAACTCAGATTCTAATTTCTTAAAATGGTCACTAGAAGTCAACAGGGTTATTCTGGTGTAGAATCTGGTCTCAGATATCTCAGTATAGACACCCTACTGTTAGACTGTGCTTTGAATGCAAAAAAGAAAAAAAGTGGATTGATATACTAAATAGATTACAATTTCCTGATAATGTGCTTGTCAGTACTGAATAGTTTCGGTCTTATTGGGGTCCAGCTCACAGAGTCAGTCCATCACATTCTGTTTCCTACATATTGAGAAGTCAAATACATTATTTAAGATAAGATTCCTTTTTTCCTTTTTTTTTTTTTTTTTTTTTTTTTTTTTTTTTTTTTTTAATATATCTGTAACACCCATCTCTGGTCATTTAGCGATACCAACCTCTATTACTTGCTAAATTGTAATCTTGCTAAACACTCATCACTGTAACACTAATTTATAGCAAGTCTGTTTGTGCTTTCTAACACTAGCCCATTAAGCTAATCTGCTGGTTGCTTTTCCTCCAGATATGCATTCCCTGGACACACGCTTACATCCTTTAGTTAAAGGATATAAGTAACCTGATAGCTTTCACTGGAAAAGGAAAGTCTGCAAAAACTCTCACCTCATGCATCTCCAGGGCAAATGTTCTCCAAGACACTTGGTAAAACAGAATCTTTTCCCATTATTCTTTATTTTTTGGCAGGTGGATTGAACCAGATGTTTCTGTTGAACTTATTTATTTATTTCCCTCAAGCAGTCTCCAGAAATTGCTTCTGCTTCTAAATTATTTAAAGCCACATGACATCAACTCCCCTCTGATCTTTTGTTGCATAGATTGCTAGTGGGCAAACAATCAAAGAAGTTAAGAATTTTACTTGAAAATATATTTTGTTTGTTTGTTTGTTTGCTCTGTCCAAGCCATCTTAGTGTCACAGCCTGGCTGCCCATTTGGTACAGCTTTTTCTTATTCCAGAGGGAAGACCAGGTGTTGACAAGTGTATTTCTGGCACCACATCCTAACAAACCAAAGTTATCATCAAAATCAAGTTAGCATGGATGTGAATGTACCTGTAAATCTTCCTGTAAAGTTCTAGTCCCTCCATGAATTAGAAGTATCTCATCTGTTTCATCCTGCACTCCGAGGATTAAAAGTTTCTTTTCCAAAGTGACCTCACTAGATATTCCTAATTTAATTCTCTCTCCTCTTTCAGAGCAAAGAGAATACTTACTAAGTTTTAAAATGCAGTGTTAAGGAGGAACAGAAGACAATTTCATGCTTCCAAGGTACTTTGGCCAAAACCTTAGCTACAGGATCTAAACTTTGAGCCATTTAGCAAGATCAATAATACTTTCACTGAAACTAGTGGTAGAGAGAATTAACCTCAATTGTTATTCCTTCATCACAGTTCAAATTTTCCTTTTTAGTTTGGTTTCAGAAATTTCTTCTGAGTGCTCACAACATCCATTTACTCACAAAAACCATGCAAGTCCTGCATTATATATCAC